GATAGCTCGTAGATTTAAAAGAATTGGAAGATGTTGCTTGTGTGCAAATGCAGAGGAATAAGCACAGAAACCTCGTCTACCCTCTCGTTTTAAGGATGTCGAAGAGCAGGAGCCATCTACAAAGAGCGAATTGCAGGATCTGTGTGAGGAGACGCGGGAAGCGACAGTTCGACGTCGAATATACATGATTTTTGGAAGGATAGAGGGATGGGCCATTGAATTTTGACAGAGATAATGATTTAAGAATTTTTTTTTTTTTTTTTTGTTTGCTCTAGTGTGGAGGACCTGGCGGTCAACATTAGCCTAGGTGACCCAAAGTTGTCAATTAATCCTTAAAAAAGTCGTCAGTCAAGGCAGCATGAATATGTTGGTTAAGGCAACAAGGACTCATTAGACAAGGCAACAGAGGAAATTATCATGGATTGAGTTCAAAAAGGAGGTCAATACATTCATCGAATAAATTTTAAAATTTTGTATTCAAACTACTATACTTCTATTAGAATTCAAAGCAAAAAAATTAATATTAGTTGATGTCAATGAACAATTAGAATTCATATTTTAAAATTAAAAATTAATATAGTATATTGGTGAAACCACATGCCACATTTTAATAATAGTACAGATATATTCGAACATCACTTTAAAAAAAATTATACAAAAGATGCACGCAATGATACAAGATAATTACTTATGTTTTTTTAGGATGTCTAGTCCTTTGAAAGTTTCTTAAGACATAAGTAGACAAAATTAGCAAAAAAAATAAATGGAATCGGATTCATACAGCCGTGTTGACCTAAACAACAAATAAAAAAATCCACGTAATCCTAAAATCCTGTTGAGAAAGAGGAAGAAATTCAGCTTATCTATAGAACGGCGCCGCTCCAGTCGCTTCTCCGCAAATCCTAAGTAAATCCTGCGACATTTCCTCATTTCTTGCTCTGCTCGCGTCGTTAAAAGACGAGGGAACTCACACCTTCTCGTTTCTTCTTACACACGAGACCTTGCCGACGCCTCTTCCTCCAAATCCCCTGCTCTCCTGATTCCCACTACAGCCGAAGCTTTCCCACTCTTCTTCATCCCAAAATCCCGCAAGCCCCTTCGTTGCTTTCGATCCCTCCAAAGCCATCCACACCTTCCTTGTTCGCAAGCTGCCTCCGATCCACAGAGAGAGAGCTTCTTCCTCATACCTCCTCCTCAAGCACCCGAGCCGCCTCTAAGCCCTAGCCGCTCCCAAAGCCTCTCCTCCTCCTCCTTGGTCGTTGATCGACTTTGCCCCTTCGACGCCCGTCCCTCTTGGATCGGGAGTCAGAACATTTTGAGTCGAAGCAAGAACGGGAGCTCGCTAGGTGTGAAGGTAACGATCCTTCTCCCCTTCCACACACTACTTCAGCTAAATCCCATAAATCAACTAGCTAGAAAGGGAAACAAAGGCTTTAACTCTCTGTTATTCCCTAATCCTACATTAATCATGTATCCTGAGAACTCTTTAATTTAAATCCTATCAAATGCTATTAAATTATGTTTATGTTAATTATAATTAATTACTTTTAATAATAATTAAAGTTAATTATTATAGTTCATTATATATTAATTATAATCAATTTTTCTTAGCGTTGTGGGTTGGGAACCCGGTGCGATGCGTACGACGAAGTGGGGATACCCATAAGTAGCCGCTTGCGGGGAAACAATTGCTTTTCTTTTGCAACAGGTACCGAAGACCCATACATGCTTTTCTTAGCGTGATAGAGGACGAAGATTTTACGGCTGAGGTGTACAAAAACACCTACCATAGACGCTTTTCTTAGCATGATGGGAAGGCCAAGTTTCCCTTAGTTTTCCCTAAAAGGAGGAGACGCCGGGAGGTTGCCGAAATTTTGGGTGAATAAGGAACCGCACTCGGACCTGAATGAACATTCACAGGGGGCTTGTGAACTTGATGCAATTGATCTAAATGAATTCAAATCTAAATGAACTTGAACTTGAACTTGAACGAATCACAAAGACTTGAACTCATAATTGAACCAAATACCAATGAACTTGAATCCAAGTTGAATTTGATTTGTACATTAAGTGGGCATAACTTCAGACTTGAAAATGAACTTAAACTTGAAATATGCGCTTGTGGTCATTGAACTCAAAATGTACAACATCAAGTGGAACTTGAACAAGACTTTGGACACAAAGAACTTGGACTTGATCTGAATCAAGCATAGTGGATATGAAATCGAATGAAACTTGCAAAATTCAGACTAGAACTTACAGACCAAACTGGACCTAAGCTCAACAAGACTCAATGAACTCAAATTTGAATCAAATGATGAAGACTTGCAAGCTTGGATATGACGACAAAATGAACTTAACTTGAACCATAATTTGAATGAAAAGAAGTAACTTGAATATTTGAACTCAAGCAAGAAAACTTGAGTTTGACCACAGGGGACCTGCACAAGAGCCTGAATTCAGGCTGAACTATAGGGAACTGGACCTTGAATTAATAAATGCATGAACAAAATGAAAATATTGAAACCAAATAATAACCTGATTATTCAAAGTGTTCGAACAAATCTTATACAAGCAAATAATGACTTGTGACGGACAGTGAAGCTACAAACACAAATCGCTTGCAAGCGATACAAAAGTTATAAAAGATATGACATGATTAAAACAATTGATTCATGATGTCTATCCCAATCATGTAATTTGATGATTTGAAATGATTGTGATAGACGTAGGGATTTGTAATGAACGAAGAACAAATTCTCAAGAGGCATGTAAGCAAGAGAAATTTGTTAGAGCACTATAATCCAACCTCAAAAAGCAATAAGTAGTGCACGACAGTCTACCTGTATAAAGCAGCGAACAATTCAATTCAGAAGTTGCTACGTCACGCCACCGGATCCGCAACATTCATGCAAGCGGACAGAAGATGTTTATAAATATTCAAAGAATATCCCCGCACATGCACTGTAATATGTATACACATAGATATACTAAAGGGGAAAATACAATCATGACCCGCATGGTCCCTGGCGAGCGTGTTTTCGATACACATGTGACGTCTAGGGATGTTGTGCGGGTCAACAAATTTGAACTCGATCCTCCTAAGTAGGTAAAAAGGAGTCGACAAGGTTCAATAAATAATTACAAAATGCCCACAAACATGCGCATGGGCCCCGACAAGCATGTTATAAGTACACACGTGACGTTTAGGGATATTACGCGTGTCAATAAGTGAATTCAAGTTCGAACCCGATCCTCCTATATGAATCAATAGGAGTCAACAGGGTTCGAATCATCAAGCAACTATGCGATTACGGCGACTGGTATATTTGTTTTAATACATTCATATTATGCCTTCAAGGCCTATAACAATGAGAATTCACTAATAAAAGCACAAAGCCTATGACGAACCCGATCCTCTGTCGGTAAACTGACAGAGTCGACAAGGTCCGGTCAATGAAATGGAAGATACCACAAACACATCGATGATGGCCGTGTTGAATGTTTATCACAACCGGAGGGGTTCACAAATAATTTCTAATGCCTCCAAACTTCAAAAAAATTCAAATTCCTACAAAAATATAAGTGACTTTAACGTCACCCTAATGATGGCCGTGTTAAATGTCAATCTCAACCGGAGGGGTTCACAAACACTTTCAAATGATTTCTCAAATATCAAGAAAATCGAAAACTGCACAAATCATCTAAACTCTAAGATGTTTAAAATTGAAATATTTAATCATTCAAATACTTAAAGTAAAATCCATCCACCCTCCACAACAGTTTGCTGGGGTGGACAAATTAAAATTTATTTCAGCTCACATAGAGTTAATGTCTAGTTGAAAATATCACTAGGATCCATTCTCAAACAATCTTTTGCCAATAAGAACGTGGTACGTGTCATCTGATCGGCGGTTTTGCCGCCAAATGGCACTGCAAGATAAACGGTTATGCCCGCCGAGGCCCTTTGAACCGAGTGATTTTGCCGTCAAATAACACCATGAAATACCGGTTATGGCCAGAACTAATACGTTTCTTAGTGGCATCAAATCCTTAAGATATGAATCAATAGGATATGATCGATAGGGCACAAATCCCTATGTTAGCTAAGGTGGATTCAAATTTGTCCTCTTAGACAAACACTTACCCCAAGTCTACGAGGTACCCTTGGACGAAGCATCCCATGGCTGCCGACAAGGATCCTTCTGTCAGGTTGGGTTGACTACCTCCTCTAACTAAGTAGACCAATGACCACAATGGCCCGGGATGACGGAACCATGAGATCTTGATCGGGTCCATCATTCATTCCCCTACAATCCGCTTTAAGTGGAAGATGGTGAAATTTCTATTTTAAATATCAATTTCCAAATCTATAAACTCTTCAAAATTCTCAAACCCGTGCTGCTACTATATGTCAGGTAACACGTATCTCTACGTATCTGATTGACAACTAGCCTTAATCGAAAGTTCTCTCTTGTTATCGAGAGCGGAAATTAACTATAGGGGCTTGCGCCTATAGTTAACCAGAACTCATATCATAAAGTACTCGCAAAATGAGAGCGAAATCTCTGAGTAGTGCCTTATCTACAAACCCATCTGCCTTCCAAAATTTACCCAGGAACTTAAATTCGTTAAAACTCCCCCCGAATAAAAAGCAACGTGAGCGGAGGCCGGGGCCGAATTTTCGTAGCCCACAAGCCGATCCAGGTGATTAGAACAAGTGCTATTGTTGATAATGCAGGACTATGTTGATAGAATTCGATGAAGATTTAGAAATTAGTAACAAAAGAAATCTAACGATCAAAAGATTAACAGCTATGGCTTGAAAATTTGTTGTTATCCTTATTGCTGAGATCAATGCAGTTTACCAGAATAATAGGTCCACGATGTCAAAACAAGATGAAGTAGGACAATACGCCAACGTTGCCAAAACATGATGGACCGCTGTAAAAACAATACTGATAAGAAAATATTTTCTCTAAGGATTTACATGAACTTACGGTCCATATGGAAGTGTGTTAAAAACCAATGAGAACAATCTCCTCTTAAATAGCGGAATGCATCCTGCACATAAGATGTGTCCAAAGTAAGAAAAAAGTTGTAATACTTCAAAAATAATCAAATAAAACACTCTAAAGAAATAAAATACTGCGAAGATCTTTAAAGATACTTGTTTTCGTAATTATATTTTCATGAAAATACTTACTACTAAGCTTAGTCTTCAGTGGTTAAAAATAGTTGGAAGGTGATATGCTGGGAAGAATAACACCATAAATGAAACAAGCTGTAATGAATGCTCGAGTGATCAAAATCAAGCACCAAATTTCAAAGTTAAGAATTCAGCCATTTAGTGAGTAAAACTGCATATCTTCTTAGGTGGATTAAACCGATGAAGATCTTCATTTGACATTTATTGATTTAGAGAAAGAAGATGACAAAGTTCCAAGAGAAGTGCTATGGAGAGTTATAAAAAAGAAAGGGATTAAGAATGCTTATATTCAAGTCATTAGGGATATGTATGCTAGAGTTGTTACTTGTGTTTAAACACAAGGTGGTTTTTGTCCAAGTATTTTTCAATTTTAGTTGGATTACATCAAGGATCAGCCTTAAGCCCATATCTTTTACTTTAGTCATGGATGTTTTTACTAGAGATTTGCAAGAGTATATTCCCTATTGTATGCTTTTTGCTGACGATATTATTCTTGTTGATAAGACTAAAGAGGGAGTTAAAGGTAAACTTGAATTATGGAGGTCAACCTTAGAGTCTAAAGGTTTTTGTTTGAGTAGATCTAAAACCGAATACATGGAGTGCAAATTTAGTAGTAAAAGATCTAGTGGGGTTTGGGACTTTAAGCGATCAAGTCATTAATAAGAGTACACATTTTAGATATATTAGGTCTATTGTTCAGAGTGAAAGTGAAATAGAAGGGGATATTATTAGTAGAATTCAAGTTGGATGGATAGAGGAATGCATCGGGCTTGTTTTGTGATAGAAAAGTATCACTCAAACTTAAGGGAAAATTCTATAAGATGGTGGTTAGACCTGCAATGCTTTATGGCGCAAAATATTGGCCATTAAAAGAGAAGCATAATATTAAGTTAACTGTTGCAGAGATGAGGATGCTCAGGTGGATGAGTGGTTTTACTATTAGAACCAGGATACGAAATGAGCACATACATGAAAAGATTGGAGTAGCTCCATTGGCAGATAAAATTAGAGAGAGTAGCCTTAGATGGTATGGTCACATAAAACGGCAGCCTTCTGATGACCCGGTTAGGAGAGTAAATGTATTAGATTTAACCTTTATTAAGAAAGGTAGAGGTAAACCTAAAAAGACTTGGTTAGAAAATATTAGAAATGACTTTTCTTTATTAGATCCAAATGAGAATATGACTCTTAACCAGACACAATGGAGAAAAAAAACAACATTTAGCCAACCCCACATAGTGGGATAAAGGCTTGATGTTGTTGTTGTAGTTGTTATGGTAGAAAGACCTAAAAGATAAACAATTAATTAATAGATTAAACTATTGGCTATTATATATAATTTTTGAAAAATGAATACAGTCGGTTATTTTGATAAATATGATTTATAGTTTCTTTCATTGATGATTGTATAAATTAAAGGAGATTAACAGATAAATAGATAATTCTTCCAAAATTAGATACTGGGGTGTTCCACCATTGCACGCATCGATGCCTGACTCTCAACAGCATTGGCATATCCCCTTTTGATGCATGACATAATATCAACGTCTGACTCTCAACATACTAATATAATCATTTTAAGCACAAATCTTAGCTAAATTACTTATTATTTTTTAATTATTATTAATATTCTGCTTACTAAATTTCTATACATTATTTTTAAGACATAAAAATTATAATACTATGTCTAACACGTGTCAATATTCTATATTTTCTATAATTGGTGTATCTTGTGTCAATTTCTATACATCATAGACAATGACTATTGTTGAAGAATACTCATGAAGACTGATATAGACAAAGGGGGGGTCAACACTAGTCCAAAATAAATCAAATTTTGGCTTCCCTTGAGTCTAGTAGTTCATCATAATTGATCTAAACTTTTAGTTCATTTATGAGCTGGACTTTAGTTCATTTATTGAACTAAGGGTTAGCTCATTATGAGCTAACATTTTAGTTCATTTATTATCTTTTAATTAATGTCTTTTATGCTTTTTATGTATTGTTTTAATGTTTGTCTCTTAGAATTCCAAACCGGCCTTTGGAATTCCAAGATTTATTTTTCCATGGTGGCTCCTTGAATTCCACCATGGCTTTATTTGTTTGCCTCTTGGGATCTCACAGTTGGGCTCCTTCTTCCGTGACTGTCCCTCGTTTCCCGTGGCCGTGGCTCTCGGTCCGTGCGGTTCCCCTCGTCTCCCGTGGATGTCTCCTTGGTTCCTGGTTTGGGTGTTAAACCGTGAGCTTAGGGGGGAGATTCCCATGCTTTTAATGCCTAGTTTTATGTGTTAGAATTTATGTATGTGTCCTTTTGTATTCCCCTTTCATACCTATAAATATGATGGGTTATGTAATGTTTGAAAAAGTTAAGTAAATATGATTTGATTTTTGGAAAAAAATCTGTTAACCTGCGGGTTGCTTGGAAATCCTGCGGGCTCTTTCCACCCTTCTTTCTCATCCCCACCGGAAATCCTGCGGGCTCTTTCCAACCTTTCTTCTCGGGCTTCTAATCTCTTT